TGTATCGTTTATCGCTAAAAAACTTATCTGAAAAGAAATCTGATTATCTTTGAAAAAATTTGATTCTCAGATTATCTGAAAATCGTATTTGCAGAGCTACGTCGAAAATGTGGAAGAGTATCGGGCGGACCTTTCGAATAGTTTTTTCAGCACTTTGATAACAAATCACACTCTCAGCGTTGCTAATTTCTTCCTTATCAGTGCAACTCTTACGTCTTACACGTGGTTCAACAAAACGCGCAAATGCTTCCGAGGTATTTTAAAAAAAATTACGATCTATTCAATAATTATGGAAAGTAGGCATCCTTAAGTAGGAATCCTTAAGGCTCAAATGAAATTCCTCATGAGGATTTCTTGCATTCAACAGGGTCGCCAGGAAATCTCCAAATTTACCGAGATTTTGCAGAAAGTCACTTACAAGGCGCAAACTGCTAGCAGTTTTGACCCTGAACTGCATACGTACAGCTTGTATCCGCATAATCCATCAGTATAATTTAGAGAAACCAACGTGGTACAGCTGCTCTTATTGGTTACGCTTTTATCGTCACAGGCTGATCCGTCTTTGGCCGGCTTATCTTTACTCGCTTTCGGTGCTTACTTTTCGTTCCTCAACAGCTATGTATCATTCGATTTGGAGTGCCGGTGATCCATATGTGCAGTGCATTCCACACTGGTGGCAAAATATCTTATTTATAAATATTTTTGGCGGTAATGAATGTCTCGGATGGACGTGGTAAGCAGCTATGACCCAATCAGAGCAATAGATTTTTTCATTGCAAAGAAAATTTGCTTCTGTTATATCCTAATTGTGTTTTGAAAAAAAAAAAAAAAACGTGGAACAGTCCGTTTCGACGTTATAATTTTTGAAAAACAAAGAAGTGCTCTTTTTGATCATTAGTTTTAAATTGTTTACAGGTACATTAGTGTCGAATTTATCTTTTTTGCATTTTCCCCCATATTTCTTCTTCTTTTACGCGATAAAACAATGTATGGATATGTGTTATCGTTTACTGTGATTATCACGAGCAGTGTTATTGTCGGCTTGCAGCTTTATGTGAATAATTATCCGGCATCACCGCTACCGTGGACTCGCACAGTCAACTACGATCCGAGCTTCTACAAGGTTCGCTTTCCTTGATTTTGATCCCTTCTCGGTAAAAAATGATTTACCTCTAATACGTTTCGTCTCTTAGACATTGGGCATGGAAACTACTTCCTTGCCAAGTAGCGCTAAAATGATCAAATTTTTTAGCAGCTCTTAGCAATGTACATTAAACCGCACTGCCACGTTGGCGCTTACATTGTTGGTCTCATCGTGGGCTATCTTTTGGCCACTGAATATATGCAATTCCTGAAACTCCTGAAATCTCGCTCTCTTGTTTTTTCTGCTTGGATATCAGCTGCCATTGTTGCTTTTGTTTCGGTGCAAGGGTTATATCCTATTTTACAGGTAAGTGCAATATTTGCGACTGATTTTCATGCACTTCTGCAAAAAAAACGAGTATTGATGAGAAGTTGTCGATGTGTATGTCCAACTTTTATCCCACTCTGCAATCGCTTAAGCTGGGAAGCTGTTGTTTCACGAAGTTGCTCGCGCTCCATGTGCAGCCCTGTAAAGTTAAAATGGATATC